TGCTACCGACTGTTAATTAAGGCTAAGGGGGGGCACAGTCAGAAGGGAAGACCTTTTTTTATGCAGGGTCATCGATAAGTAGGGGTAAAAGAAGATGAAGCCAGAGTTAAGAAAGCAGAGAAAATGTGGAACATGCCTAGTTAAAATCTCTGACAGACAGCAGCTCAGGAAGCCACCTCAGCCCCCCCCTGCCCTCCACCCAGAGCTCCCAGTCCCTGACTACTTGCACCTCCTTAAAAACTCCTTTCACTTCCAGTGCCCTGAAGTGGGAAGCAGTGTTAGCAGGTCACTGCTGAACATGTCAAATGACTTAGCAGACAGGAGGTCTGCCAGGGTTGGATGGGGGGGGGCGTGTGTGTGCATAAGTAAGCATGTGTGTGCACGCATGCATACCTCTGTGAAAGTACATGTGCACATGCAGGACCTGTGAGACACAAAGGCTTTAAGGGGGAGACCATGAAAAGATGAATTTTAGTAGCATATTTGTTGTGTGATTTTAAGTGCTGGTTGGCTCAGAAAAGAATAAATGATTTTTTTTTAAAAAGCTCTATTCTTTTTCCCAAGTGGTAAATCAATCAATCTACCAATTCTCCCCATCCCCTGCCACATGTGCACAAACAACAGTGGTGAATTAGCTCTCTCCCTCTGCAGTGCCAATGGTTTGTACTGGCACTCCAAGGTGAAAACAAAGAATAAAATATAGGCGGACTCTGAGCCAGCCTGGGCTGCGGCCCTCAGCTGCACTGCAGTCCTGTGGCAGCTGTCTGCCCTGTGCATCTTGGTGGCTGACTGCTCGCCTGTCACCCTGCATCCCCATATGGCTCCAAGTGAGTCATTGCTCCTGAGGCTTCTACTGCCACAGCAACATCTGACCCAAGTGGCTGCCACCATTCCCATTGGCACAGCGAGAGCCTGCACTGCGCTGGTCCTTGAGGGGGTGAGAATAGATTGAGGGCAACAGAGAAGAAAGATCCAGAGGGTTTCTTTGAATCAGTAGAGAACAGATACTGCACTAGTGCCTGACTTGTGGAACAACAGAGTGGTTGGTTAACCATCAGCCCTTCCAGCATCGGGGAAGGTGCCCCCAGACATGGTGGATGAAAGTGCACAAAGAAAATGTGCCCAGATTTGAATGAGAGCTGTTGTTTGCACTGCCAAGGTCAGGGAAAAAAATGGTGATTACTGTGGCCAAAATCAGCTAAGCCATTCACCCTGCTTGGAAAGAGCCTTGCCAGTCTGTCTGACAACAGACAGGGTGGGCGGTGCTGGGCCAAGAATCAGCGCTGGGACCTGGCAGTATTTTGTGGCACTTGAGAATGTGGCCACAGCTGTGTGTGCACATGAACACACGTAATGGAAGTGCCTGCCAACACATGGCAGGATCTGCAGCACCTCCCTTACAAATGATCAGTGACCATCTTCCTGCCCCCTGCTTCTTTCCGACAGATGTCAATCAGCATATCCAGTGCCATCCTATCTTGTTTTGCCATCCTAAATATTCAATCTTAACAAATCAAATTAACCTTTAAAATTATTACTATCATCAGTTAACAGCTGCGCCCCGACTAGTGATCTCAGTCTTACTAACGCTTGACCCCGAGCAGTAGTCTCAAAATCACCTTTTTCAGGGAGAAATAAACCAATCATGACTTTTAATTTGTTCAAATGTGAAAACATTTCTTTTTGTCCAAAGTAGAGTATTAGCATATCATTCACCACTGAGTAGAATTTCTCTTTAACAGACAACGGATTCCCTTGAACTCAAACGTTTCCAGTAAGGTTGAAAGCAATAATAAAATCCCTTGCACTAGCTTAGCAGAATACTTGTTCTTTTCTTTATTTAAGATTTATATTAAAGTCTACAAGGATTTGAAAAGGGAAAGCCTGTGATTAAAGAATTTGATACTTTTTCAAAATATGGTTTATGTATAAAAGCATTATGAAAATATCTTTATGCTTTAAAAGGTTCAGAAATACTCTTTCCTGGTGGGGTGGGGGGAACCCACAAAACTCATTCAAAATAAACATGCTGGGCTGGGAATGTAGCTAAATGATAGAGCACATGGTATGTATGCACAAGGCATTAACACTCAGCACAGGTGAATGTATGGATGTACTGCACATACATGCACACAGAGCTTAGCAAACCAGTAACCAAAAGGAATTTTCTTAGCCTAATGAAGGGCATCTATAACAATATAAGTTGCAAATGTTACATATTTGATACTGAGCACATTCCCTTTAAGATTAAGAATGAGGACAAGGTTGCCATCCCTCGCTATTAAATACTGGCCAGTATAGTAGGAGAAGAAAAAGAAATGAAAAACCCAAAGATTGAAAAAGAGAAAGGAGAACTATCATTATTTGCAGATGATATAATTTCTCTATGTGGAAAAATCTGAAAGAATCTATAGGTAAATTATTTGAATGACTGAAGAAGTTAAGCAAATTTGCAAGATTAGAGCCACACAAAAATTAGGGCTTTTCTAATATAGCTGCATCAATCAATAAAAAATGATATTCATAATAATAATAAAATATAAAGCACCTTTGTTCATATCAAACAAAAATCATACAAAGTTTTTATGGATAAAGTGATAAACCTTTATTGAAAGACATGAAAGAAGACCTAAGTAAATTAGACTTATGCTATGTTATGATATTGGAATCAATATAAAAGAGGTCAGTTCTCAGCTAGCTGAGCTAGGATCTAATGCAGGTCCCACGAAATTCAATGGAGCTTTTCATGGAACTTGACAAGTTTATTATAAAACTTTTGGAAGAGCAAAGGGACAAAATTTTTTGAGAACTGGGTACAGAGGTACACACCTGTAATCTCAGTGTCTCAAGAGACTGAGGCAAGAGGATTATAAATTCGAGGCCAGCTATTCCTATTCTACTTTATACTATAAATATAAATATACTACTTTATACTAGTGAGACCCTCAGCATCTTAGTGAAACCCTGCTTCAAAAATTAAAAGGCAAAAACAAAGAGTGGGGATGTAGCTCAGTAGTAAAGTACTTTTGGGTTCAATCCTCAGTACCAAAAAAATTCCAAGCCACCCTTAAAGAAGACAGATTACATTAAGAATATCTGTTAATTGACACCATATAGAAAGATAAATGACAAATCTCAAAATGTGAGAAGAATGTTTAAAATATATGAACAACACAAGTTTGTAAATAAACAACTCCTGCTAATTAAGAAGATGACAACCAAACGAAAAATGGACAAATGTTATAAATAGGCATTTCATAAAAACTGTCACAAATGGCCCATGAAAAAGCAAAAAAAATTATTAATTAGTGAAGGACAAATTAAGGTCATGGGAAGATACTTTTGCATACCACCAGACTGGACAGTTTTTAGTCTGAATAGTACCAAATTGACAGCACTACATACCAAAGGAACTTTCACTCACTATAGCAGGTGGGAGAGTTTAGATAGGTCTGACTATTTGTGGGGAAACATTTGAGCATCAATTAGTAAAGCCAAAGATGTGTATGTCCCAGGACCCAGCAGTTACAGAGCTGGGACGCCCTTAGAGAAATTCTGCACATGAAGTAGATCCACAATGGCCACCACATTATTTGTAATAGCACCAAACTGGAGACAACTGACATCCATCAACAGGAAAATCCACGAGTGAACTATGACAGTCACACAATGGAAGAATACACAAAAGGAGAACAAATGAGCTAAGCTAACATGGATGGTTTCCCCCAAACAGTGCTAAGCAGAATGTTGACCTTCTTTAGCAAATTATAGATTTTATTCAAAATAAACAAGTTAATGTATTATTTAGGAAATCATATATGTGCACATTGTTAAAACAGAGGTTGGTGAACTATGACCCTTGGATCAAATACAGCTATTAAAATAGTAGCTATTTTAATAAATGAATTTATTGGGACAGGTCGTGTCCATTTGTTTATGTGCTATTGATAGCTGCTTTCTTACTACAAGGGCAGAATTAAGTTCTTGTGACAGAATTTGCTGATCCTGTTTTTAAAAGAAATAGAATGACCAATTCAAACTTCAGGATAGTGATTGCCTCTCAATAAATAGGAATATCAGCACAGAGGGCCTTCTAATACCTCAAGGTAAGGAATTTTTTCTTAACATTGATAGTAGGTACATAGATTTACAGTACTATTTTCCCTTAAGGAGTACATGCACAATTCACATATGTGAACATGCTTTTTGCAATATGTGGATATGTTTTATATATTCTACAATTTTAAAAAAATAAGAAGGAAGTAAGATTGATTTTGATACTGGAAGTTACTCCTATGAGTACTAAGAATACCGGAAATTTATGACTTATAGCCTTCTTCTATATCTGGCACTGACTTTGTCATCTTGTTTTGTAGACAGATGAAAACTTTCCTAGCCTTGCTAAGTGGCAGGTTGCATCCAGAAGTAGCTTTCCATTCTAGAATGCCATGTTTTCCATGAGGTATATTATGAAAGTGTGTCTTAGACTTTGAAAAGACAAAGGTTTAGATCGCCTACCGTGGGGATTTTCTTACCAGCATCTTGGACAAATAGCCACCCATCTCTGCTTGAGCATTTGCTGGGAGGAAGAAGGCTGGGATTACAAATGGTTTGGTGACTGTGGAGTTCCCACCAGGACCAGATTCTTCCACATCGTACTCCAAGTCTTAGGTTTTTGACCACTGCTCTTAGAAGTCCCTTATGGAAAGGGACTCGAATGTCATCTCATCTGAGCCTTCAGTAGTGTGAAGGCTGTGCATGGTTGCATCTGGGATCTGGGCCCAGGTGCAAACACATCCAAATCCATGCACTTCCTTATGTGACCTTTGATCTCCAGCCAATGCTAATGGTCACATAGTCTTTATTAGAACAAAATCTCCACTACTTTTGCTTCTCCACTATTTCCTGTTTTGTTCTCTGGCACATCACAATACTCATCTCTCATTTATGAACCATCATATATATTATATTCCTACCATCAGAGGCAATGTCCAACCTACCTGTAGAGATCTGTGATCAGCTTGTCGTCATAACGAGCGCAGAGGTTGTTGAGGACTTGCTCATGCTGGCCAAGCAAGCGGATGTAGTTGGAAGCAGGGAAAGGCTCCTTAGAAAGGCACGTGATGGTCTCCACTATCTTATACTTGTTAACATGAATTCGGAAGTATGTCCCATTTTTCACATTACCTGTTATTATTTCTGACCCCTGGTAGGGAGGGGATGGATCAGAAAAACATTAGAAACACTTCTGGACCTTGGGAACTTTACCATAGCAAATTAATTTTTTTATATATATAACAGGTTATATCTTGTCATTTGTTGCAAATAATAGAAATAGATATTGACTAAACTCAGCAGAAGATAATGGTACTCCATATGCGTAGGAGTAAAAAGTTCCATCAAATTATGTTATGTGCATATACAAATATGCCATCAGGAAATTCACTATTCTCTATAATTAATATGCATCGATAAAAATATTCTAAAACATTAAAAATAAACATAGGATCCGGCCTATATTTCCTATGACTAACATTTTATATTGGTCTGGTATATTTGTTATGATTAATAAACTCACACTGATATATTAGTATAAAAAAAGAAACCACAAACTTGGACTTTGTGACTAAATGTTCTTCAGGATATTTATAAACTGTGTTTGCATTGTCCTGTGTTTATAAATTAGTTGCTAGGTTACAACCAATTCTCTGTTACTCAATACCTCATGTAGCTAGTAAGTGGAACTGGCTTTATTCTTCTCTATGAGGTGTTTCTTCTTCATTTTCATTTAAAAATTTAGTGTTTGATCATTTATTTTTAGGAAACCCTCCAGTAGCAGTATAAATCCATTGGTGCACAAAAATGCCCAACATCCAGCACAGGAGCTACAGGAGCGGTGTACCTGAACCAGTCATTTTATTAGGAAAGACTTCCTGGGAGAGATGAGCTTTCAGGAAGTTGAGAAACAAAAGTGGGAGGATCAGAGCTGGCAAAATTGTAAAAGGCTGCTGTGGAAATCCATTTACCCTGCCTGAAAGAAAGGTGTTCATGCAGAAGAAATGGAGACCTTGATGATAGGGTGCACCCTGGGGTGTGAGGAGTGGCACACAGGCTCTGGGTTTGCTTTATTGGGTAACTCTACATCTTACTTTATTCTCTGGCACCACAGGGTACCAAGTAGAATAGCGTTATTACTTCCTCCTCCTTCCCTCTCTCCTTTTTTTTTTTCTTTTCGTCAGTGCATTTTAATTGAATGGAACCATGGGTTTCATCGCGGGGAACTCATATATACATGTAACATACTTTGATCATGTCCTCCCTCCATCCCTTTCCTCTTCTCTTCTTCGAGGTATTTAACATTGCCAAATTTCTTAGTTTTTCACAGCACCATTTTGAGAAAAACGTCCTAGTCAAAGTGATCACAAGGAATGTCAGTCCTTTTAAAAGATGAGTCCCTAATAGCTGTGTTGGGGGGAGTTTGATAAAGTTCCTTCCCAGGAAGAAGTTTAGAGATTCTGGCAAATCTAGGCTTATGTGACCTTTTAGATTGTAAATTGTTCAGGGTATGGATTTGTAGCATTTTGCCCTTAAGAAACCAACTAAAACTGCCTTATGACAAGAAAAGATGCCACTCGCTAATTCCACGTTGTCATGACTTCTTTTTCTATCTCGGCTCCTGAGAGCTACTGACCTACCAACTGGACACACACACTCCCCAAAGGCCCAGGGAGCGGAAAGCCTCAGTAGGCAAACATGAGTTTTATTTGGCTGGACTCCACTTTACCTTCCGACTCCAGGTTTAGCACACAGTAACACTAAATAAATCAGATTTTCGGAGTGCATATAGATTTAAGCTTTCACTCTGAGCTTGAAGGTGGCCTTTAGAAACCCAAGGCAAGTTGAACTGCTCTGATTCCAAACATTTACTTAGTCCTGGACACCACCTAGGGATTTTTATCAAAACAAGAACACATTTAGATAAACTGAGGCAACTGGTGGGTGTCTGGGTATTCCCATGGCAAAGCCCTGAGGTTAGACTTCAGCCAACTGTGAAAGCATGAAGTGAGAAACTTAAGGAGGCACATCAGGTAAAGAAATTATGGACCAACCCCAAGCATGGATGAGAAACTGAGTATTTGGGAGAAGGGGAGGGAACAAATACAACTTAGAAAAGAGGTTGGGGGATGATGCTTCAAGGGAGATGCAAAATGGTCCAATACAAATATATTTCATAACAGGGACATAGGTTCACAGTAAATTTTATTTTACAAAAAGAGTTCACTACAATGAACAGTATCATTCCATTTGGGGGGCATCAACATTTTTTAAAATGCTAATGCTCATTTCCTATGGTGGGGAGTCTGGGTAACTTTGGTTGTTTCTTTCTGTTCAGTGGACTATGTGTAGTTTCTAATTTTAAGCAATAACTATCACTTGTGAAATGATATTTTAAAAGGCATTTTAAAGTCTTCTGGATATGCTATGGCAAGGAACCAGACTTTTGGGGAACAAATTAAAAGAGAAGTGAAACAGAAAGCAGAGGGAGTAAGGAAGGAGAGAGGACCGGAAGGAGGGAGGAGAGGGATCCATGAGGAGTTAGTGTGGAAGAGTGGGACTTTTCCAAAGAAAAGCAAAAGCCCAGGTCCCAGGTTTCTGGTCTTCCCTGACCACCTGCCACTTTCTGCACTTGCCCATGTATTTCTGTGGTTCTGGATGCTCTTAGACTTTTTAATTCAGGTATATTTCCTCAAGTCTTGACTTGTCAGATTGAGCAAAGAATCCCACCACCACCCAGATTAGGGGCACAGGACATGACAGAATAATTCCCGGTGGTGCCATGTTTACTTGGGTGGCCCAGGATAACAGACATTATTTCAGAATTAGAAGGCACATAGTGAAGAATGTGATGCCTATGTGCATTTCTATGGTGAAATACAAGGTTTAAGAGAATACTGGAGTTTGGTACCAACTGTGGGTGACTATCCAAGGAGGGGCCACTCCCTCACCATGGTAGCAAGCCTGCTGGGAGTCCAGGAGAGCAAGCCCCCACAATCACTCTGGCATAGTTTTAGCTGCCAGGTTTCCCTAAGGATCAGTGGAGAGCAGAGAAACCAATTTCACAAGGTCTTGGTCTCCTCCTCTTGCTCTTCCCCTTCCTCAATGTTTATTTATGCTGAGCAATTAAGAAAAGGGAACTCAGACATCAAAAAGGCCCTCCTTGAGATCCACCCATGTGGGCAACAAAAAATTTGACTTTTCAAGGAATTTCATTAAATACCTGCCCTGCAACTTGCAGGGCTTTGTCTATATTGAGGAGAGCTGATTTGGACTTGAAACAACCTTAGTTGAGGCTCAGCACCTCAAGACAGGGGCCACAGTTTCTGAGTGGTAGTAATGTGACAAATTTCTGAAGGTCCTTGGTGGGCCACTGCCTGGGATCTGGGAGAGTCTGAGCATGAAATGTCCTCCATGTCAACCTACTCCAGGAGAGTGGAATTCTCAGCATTGTCTTCAACAATTTGTTATTATGGATAGATTGCCCTTTTTACTTTTGGTATGTTTTCTGTATGTTTTGTCAGTATAATCCTAACTATAACTACAGGGGTTTAAACAAGTCTATTCAGTCTATAATGAAAGTAATGAGGAGATTTTGCAGAATACTGATCTTAACTACAAAAGGCACATGTGTCCATTTTAATAAGATTTGGTACTATGTTGGCATAGTGGGGGGGGGAGGTCATCCTGGCAACTTAAAATGCATCAAAAATATTTTGCAGTGGTATTAAAGACAATTCATGCATAGATGGACTTCTCAGACACAAATTATTCTTGTAATGTGGGTCATTCCTAATGACAGTTGTTGACAGATCAGGAAAACCCAGTGAAGTCCAGAACTCTCTGTCCCTTCTCACAAAAAGTACCTCCTCTAAATGATGACTTAAAAAAAAACTCCCAGCCCTGTCATCCCATGAAGGATTCTGGGGTAATTATGATTATTTTGCAAACTTTCCAATTTGCTGGGGTGTGTCTAGCTTCTTCCTTTAAGTATATAAGTAAATTGCTAGAAGATTTGGATCTTAAATTTAAGGTGTTGGTGGAGGGACTGGTTCTGGTTTGGTTCTTTTCTTTCTCTTCTTCTTTTTCCCTGAGTACAATTATCCTTTCAAGTTCCTTTATGATTTTGACAAAGGTTGGAAAATGGCTCTGAAGTTCACGCCAAATGGAAGACACAGGATTAATCAGACTTGGTGTTCATGAAATCCGGTTCCCAGATCTCATGACAAACATACAATTTTAAATTTAATAGTATCCAAGGCAGAATTTGTTGTGACAAATTTCTTTATTTTTGTGGTGGATAAGCCAACAAAGCATGTGGACTGGAATCTGCAAATTAGTTTATTATGTAGACGATTTGGGGGTACCCTTTCTTCCATTTGTCAAGTTACTGCTCAAAGAGCTCATGAATTACTGAACAATCTCCTTACTTAAATATTCCAGTTATTGAGAACTATAAAAGTCTGATAAGATTAATCTGTACTGCCCTTATTGTCAGAACAGTAATTTCTCTAGTGAAATACTGTTGAATGGGCTCTATTCTTGATCAATTGGATTTATTTAGGTGACTGCCTGACCATTTTGGCAACAATTTTACTTAATCAAATTAATTCCTACCCCAAAAGATTGCCATGTAGCCATCCTACATTTTTTTTTCTTGGATAATAAAATGGGGAAAAAATCTGTTTAGATCTTCTGTACTAATTAAAAAGGAGGCCCACCTGGCAAAATGGTTAATTAAAGTCAGGGGTCCTGTTCAAATACTGTCATTGCACCAGCCAAAGAAATCTATTTAAGTTGCACTGTTATTAAAACTCTCATTATCTAAAAACCCCTTTTGGCTTTTCCTCTGACTTTATTCAGAGAGAGAGAGCAAGTGGTTCATAAATAAATGGCACTATATGTAGGAAATCATGCAGTCCTTCAAGAATCTAATTCTGCCTGAAACCAAGTCCAGTATTTTCTAGCTCTTGTACATGTCAGGCTCAAGTTATTTACCTATGATGACCAAAGTGCTCAGCCTCTGACACTCTGGTATTTACCTTGTCTATCTGAATGTCCCTGTCTGTGGCTGACTGCACTTTCCAAAGATGGCCAATTACTTTTTGCAATATGACCTTTAAAATCTTTCCATTGATAGATGGATTCTGTCCCATATACCTTAAATACCCACAGGCTGTGACTGCTCCAGCAGAGCATGAGGTGTGGGGGAATTGATGCTGTGTGGCTTGCTCATTTGGGCCATACAGGCAGTGCAGTTGCCAACTTGCTAGAGAGAATGCTTGCCCTTGGAGCCCTGACCAGTCTGATTACTCAGAGGCCACCATGCTATGAGGAAGCCCAGGCTGCATGGATAGGCCAGGCAGGAAGGCTCTGCTCAGCACTCCCTATCTTCCAGTCATCCCAGCTCAGGAAAGCAATAAGCTTTTAGCTATGAGTAGATAAGCCCTCATATAACCCTAATCATTGATCTAGGCTTCTAGTCTTCCCACCCAAGGCATGTTGTATTTTATTGTGCCCTTTTGGAATTCCTGAAAGCACAGACTTTGAGCAGAATCAAATGGCTGTTTTATACCCTAAGTGTTCATACAGTAATAGAAACTGGAACAGCATTTGCTATGATTCTGTGGTTTTCTTTGTTGTAAGGAAATTTTGCATCAGATCATGTGTCCAGGACGTGATCTGGGAAAAGCCTAAATAAAGCAAAGATGTTTTAAAGATAACCATCTGTTCTCTCCTTGGAAGAATCAGGCTCATTACTGATGTGGAGCCATGATTAACAACATCCACTATTGATTGGTTACCATTTTTGCTCCAGGCAGTACTATTTTATATATGATCTCTAACAAACCCAGAAATTCAAAGAAGTTGAATAACTTGTTCAAGACACATGGGAAGCAAATGGATGAGAGGTGATTCAGGTTTCCTGAAGGGATAAGGTAGGGGACCAATAGCCTGTGACATTTTGAGTCTTCCTCTTTTCCAATAGCTTCCAAATATATTCCATTTGCCAGAACATGCCACGTGGTCATTTCTATCCTAAAGGAAATCTAGGAAATGGATTTATGTTATGCTGGTCATATAATTAACTCTCAAAAATATTCAGGAGAAGACAATGGAAACACTTAAGTAGGCAACTTCAGTGTCTGCCTCATTGACTAAAAGCAAATGTGACTCTTCATAAAGGAAGTTCCCAGTTGACAAAATAATCCTAGACTTGGTCCTTCTATCAGATTTGTGCAGCTGTCCAACTGACCAACCATGCTGTGTCCTTTATGATCTCCTTAAACACAGGAGGTCCTGTGCCACAGCTTCTCCTTTTCCTGGATATCCTTTTGCTATAATTCAGAAAAGAGTGGATAAAAGTGTGTTCTAAATGTCCATTTCAGATTCTAAGCAATTTCCTTGCTTCACTGTCACAAGGGTAAATATTCTAATAATCTTTTTTTTAATGATCTGATCAAAACCTAATGACTTGCTGGGCCCAGTGGCACATGCCTGTAACCTGGTGGTTCGGGAGGTAGAGACAGGAGGATTGTGAGTTCAAAGGCAGCCTCAGCAATTTAGTGAGACACTAAGCAATTCAGTGAGACCCTGTCTGGGGATGTGGCTCAGTGGTTTATTGCCTCTCAGTTCAATCCTCGGTACCCACCACCATCCAAAAAAACAACAAAAACAAAAAAACCCTCTAATGACTTAATGTCTTTCCGGAGGTGAATGGATAAGTAAATGGTGATACTTCTAGATAATGGAAAATTATTCAGTGATTAAAAGAAACCAGCTATCAAGTTATGAAACACAAGAAGCAGGGTTCTGTGACATGCACCCATAACCTAAGCTACTTGGGATGCTAAGGTGAGAGAAACACTAATTAGAACTCAGCCTAGATAATATAATGAGACCTCTGCTTCAGAAAAAAAAAGAGACATGGAGGAAACTTAAATGTATCTTACTAAGTGAAAGAAGCCAATCTGAAAAAGCTACATGCTATGTAATTCAAAGTATATGACATTCTGGAAAAGGAAAATCTATGGTGATATTAAAATGACTAGCAATTTCCAGAACTTAGTATGGAGGGATGGATGAAGAGCAGAGCACAGAGGATTTTTAGGGGAGTGAAATTACCCTGTGGGATGCTACTGGTAGACACATTCGGCCAGATTTGTGCAGCTGTCCAACTGACCAACACCTAGAGTGAACCCTAATGTGAACTTTGGTTAATAATGATGGCTTTGATTGTTAAGGATGTGTCAATGTATAGTCATTAGTGTGAACAGATATATCACTCTGATGGGAAGTGCTGATAGTGAGGGAGGCCATAAGTGTGTTGAGGGAGGGTAAGGAAGGGGTATATGAGAAATCTTTGTACATTCTGCTCAATTTTACTGTAAACCTAAAGCTGCTTTAAAAATAAAGTAGTAGAGAAACTTATTGGCTTAAAACAACAGAATGCTTTAATTATCTCACAGTCTCTGGGAGTTAGAAATTGGGAGTAGCTTAGTTAGGAGGTTCTAGTTCATGGTCTCTCATAAGTTTTCAGTCAAGAAAAGTTGGCTAGGACTGCAGTCATGTGAAGATACATGTCCAAGGTATGTGGATGGCAAATTAACAAGCGCTGGTGCAGGCATACTTAGGTCCTTACCACATAGACCTCAAAGGGCTGCCTGTGTGATCTTGTAACATGGCATCAGGTGATCCAGAAGGAGGCAATTAGGAAGCTATAGTATTTTCTATGACTTAGCACACTGTCACCACCATACTATCCTGCTGAATACACAGTTCACCCTACTTAGTGTGCCAGGGAACCACAAAAGTGTATGAGGACCAAAGATTCTTGGGGGCATTTGGGGGCTGACAATCATAGTGGGTTTTTGATGTGTGAACCCATATATTACATCAAAGACCGAGTAGAGAATTTCACTCTCCTATAAACAAAGTGTTATATTTGAATGTAAAATGAAATCCAGGAATAATACTTACAAAATTGGTCTGTGACATTTGTACCGCCAAGGGAGTTGGAATATTAGGCTTGGAAACATGCAGATAATGGTAAGATCCAGGAAGAATTCCTCCTAGAGGAAACGGCAAGTTTTTCCATATTTGAAATGAATTGTGAATGAGGTGGGGAACAGAGTTTACATTTTTAACCACTGAACAGAGTCGCCCACCATGTATATGCTCCTCAAACTCTTCTACTAAGGTACTGTTAATAGTTAGGAACACCCTGGGTGGTTGAGCTTTATTTAATCAAATCAACGTGAAGGTTACATTATATCTCGTCTTGGCACCACCAGTGCTCCAAGCATTGTCAAGCTGATCCCATGTACATTGTGTTTCCCCACAGCTCCCAACACCCTAACCTATACCTACCCAAACCAGATTTGACCTTTAGAAGCCTACAGTGTTGGAATGGCATTCTCATTCCACATCACTCTTCCAATGTATAGCAAAAATATTCAAAACTTAGACTGTATAAAGAAAATCAATGAAGTTCTTTGCTCAATACTTTAGAAACCTATCAGTAGAAAATCCTTCATATTTCGGGTTTGTTCCTAAAGTCTGAGCCCGATCCAACTCTGGTCTCTGATACTGTTCCTTTTTCTTGCTCGCCTATGGCTACTACCTTCCCCAAGGTCTCATCCAGTGTGAGAAGCAGAGCAGGAGCTCTCTGAATCTGTCTTATTAGGTAGAAAAAGACAAGGATTGGAATGTGGGACTTTTGCTCTTAAGCGTGATGTTTTGTTTACTGGATTAGAGTCCTTGGATGTCCTAGGAGTCTATGAACAGCTTTGGGATTTGGTTCCTGAATGTTCTGAATATGAAAATACAATTTGGTAAATATGTGGGGTTTTCTGACCAGAATGCCCACAACACTCAAAGACACCATTTTTAACGGTATCTTTCACCTCCCAAACATATAGGAACTGTATGGTTCCCCGTGAAATCATTACCTTAGTGGTCAACAAGGCTTAGGGGGTGAAAGTGGACTGTTTTATAGCTGCAAGTAGTTGAGCTTATTCATCCGGATAGCAAGCTAGGAATAAGCTGTCTGAAAGGATGGGTCTCCTTATCTCAATTTAAGAATGGAAGTTTAGGGCAAACCACCATTCACCAGCTATGAGATCTCTATGCAAGTTACTGATCATTACCTATTTTCTTATCTATAAAATGGGTACCAGTAAGTTGTGGCCCACAATTAATGCTCAAAATGCAAAGGATGATGATGATGATGCCAAGTTCAGAATAAATGCTTAAGAAATGAAATAGATCCTTCCTCTACCTCTGTGGCAACCCATTCCAGGACCCTCCTCACCAAGCCCAAGAGAAGCACAGAGGCCTAGTCTGAATGCGGGCTCACATTCAATTTGTGGCTTCATCAAGGGAAATAAAGTGGCCCATTGACGTACCTTGGATCTTGGCTCCCTTATACATGGGGATGAGTCGGTCAAGATCAGCAGGTGGCTCAGTCACAGGCTCAAGAGTTGGATCAAAGAGATTGAGCATAGCTGCTGCCAGCTGAAAGCCAATTTCTTTGGAACTGAAGTTGCTGTGAGTCCACTCATTTGAGTAATATCTATTAGAGAACTTGGTGAGGGAGCCAGCAGCCCGGATGGCTACGTCATTTGTGTGGAAGTTGGTATCAATCACAAGTCGGCCATCATAGACAAGACAAGCATCATTGAGTGCTTTAAATGTTTCATAATCCACTTTCTTCTCACAGAAGCTGAAGAACATCTATGAAGTGAACAATTATACCCTTACTCAGTTATCACTTTTCATTACACCTTCCCAAGAGTAGGAATAGCCTCCTGGGCATTTTATTATTTGGGGCACAAAAAAATTTACTAAAAGTTTGTCATAATGTTTTGTGTTTATGGGTGTGTCTGTGTGTGTGTGTGTGTGTGTGTGTGTGTGTGTGTGAGGGAGGGAGGAAGAGGGAGGGAGAGAGAGATTATCTTTGGTATGAAGAACAAATTAAAATCACCCAGTGACTTTTTTTTTTTAACAATCCAGACATCCTATGGAGATAAGAAGCCAAGTAATGAATAGCTACCACAAAGTATTTTTTCTCCTCTAAGAAAACTTACACTTGTAGAGATCCTATTTTCCCCTTTATTCTTGTAAATTTCAAATAGCTCTAGCTCAGTGTTTTCCCCCATCTTCCTTTTCTTGTGTCTGACACTTAGGTCTTTCTAGATTCCTTCTTCTGGTTTACTTCAGTCAGTCTTGAGTCTTCAAAGTACTCCTTTCCTAGATTTTTAAACCCAGCAAGCTGGTCCCTTCAGTATAATTCAGAGAGAATAAACTACCAGCCTTCACTTCCACCAGGTCTGAGCTCCTCCTTCTTACTCCTTCTTGCTCTGGTATAGAAGGCAGTGGCTTACCCAGTAATCATAGGAAAATAGATTTCTTTGACTAAATCTTATCATCTCCCTATAGACTTTTCTACTCTCTGTTTTTCTTTCCCATGTATATAAAAATAGACTTTCCACTTAACATGAAACATAGAAATTCACTTGACTTGAATTCAAATTATACATAAAAAAGTGTCATCAATCTCTCGATTCCGTGAAATTGTTCAGAAGTTCCCTTTAGCCTCCTCACAAAGTTCTTCTACCTTACATTTTTCTTTTTCTAATTAAATCTATTTTTTCGTTCAATAACACACACATATGCTAGTTTTGTTTCCTCAAGCTTAGTAGTATTACAGTAGTATTTATTTACACTGTTTTGATGTCAGTGTTCACAATTTTTGCTACATTTGGAGTTTCATAGGAGCTTGTGTACTAGACTGAGAACTGAATAAGCAAATCTAACGGTGATCTGACAAACCTCATTCCTGGCACATTCAGACAAATACTTCTTTGCCAAGCAAAATGAGAAGGCCCAAGAAAGAATATCTTGGTATAAATAATAAACATGGAACTTACTATGCAATTGGAGAAATGGATGCTAACGAAAAGGGAGAAACTGTTTCCAGACCAGTTTAACTGGGATTCTAAACTGGCTGGAGGCTGGTCCATCTGTGGGGAGCCCAAAAGGCATGATTACCAGGCAGGGGAGGCAAGGCCTTGAAATAAGTTCAGAACAACAATTTCAAGAGAGCTCTTCTTCTGGTATGGTAGTACAAACCTCTGAGACTAAACCTCTCACCAATATTAGATATAAACTCTGGTCAAAATAGGAGAATTGCCCCCTGAAGATTCTGGTATTTAAAAATCAAGTAGCTTGTGTAGGAGCAAAAACAAACATGGATGTAACTTCCCTTATTTTGGAAGCTTTTAAAAGAGGGTGGCTTATAGGCACTATGTCCAGGATGTAGGGAAAATGACCTGTATGGTTGTAAAAATATTTTTAAAAATATATTTCATGTGGGATGGTGCAATATTAACTCTATTGATGTGAAAGGTTACTGATGTATATTATAATTCATAAAAACCACTAAAAATAAAGATATAGCTAAAAAGCTATTTGAAATAGAATACTAAAAAGTACTCTAATAATCCAAAATAAAATAGGCAAGATAGAGCAGAAGAACAGAAATCAGAAGGGATAAGCAGAAAACAAATAATTAAATGGTAGGCCTAAATCCATCATGAATTGCATTAAATATTAATGGTCTAATTAACTAGAATGCAGAGATAGTTAGAAAGGATACAAAAGTATATAGTAAGAATAATTCTAATATAATTCCCAAGATTGCCACTCTTCCTTTGAGTACTGGTGTGAACTGTGAATATGATTGATGGATGTTGTATAGCTCAATTGACTTTAAGAAGGGGAGACCATGCTTGGTAAGTCTGAACTAGTCAAATAAGCCCTTGAAAAGGATCAGGCTTTTCCTGAAAAGAGGGATTCTAAGTGTGGGGAATTTGACACAAGGGAGAGTCTAGTTTGCTGGCTTGAAAATGGGAGGAGTCATAGGGGAAGGAAATGGATGGTCTCCAGGAGCTGAGAGTGGATTAGGAGCTAACAAATGGATGTTGTTTCAGGATGCTAAATTTGCTATGCAAATACGATCTACTTTATGATACCTACAAAAGACACAGTTTAGACATAAAAGCCATAGACAAGTAGAAAGTACACACATAAAAATATATTATGCAAATTGAATGGCTATATTAATATCAGACAAAAGGGACCTAAAGATAAGGGGTATTATCAGAGCTATAGAGGGACGTTCATGTGATAAATGCAAAACCGGACAGAATAAAAGGGAAAATTGGAAACTCCCACAACAATAAAAAAATTTTAATATCTCTTCTCAGAAATTGATAGAATTAGGTGAAAAGAATCAGTAAAGTCACAGAAGAGTAAGACATCACTGTCAACTACATTGAACTAATTGTTATTTAGAAAAACACTATACCCAACAACCACAAAGTACATATTCTTTACAGGTTCATGAAAATAGTTCATATGCTTGGACACAAAAATGGTAGGCCTAAGATTTGTCTCAACAAATCTTAAATAAATAAATAATAATAATATTGAATAATAGTAAAGAATATGTTCTCTGACCAAAATATCATTAAATTAGAAATCAACAAAAATATGGTTACTAGGAAACCATCAAATATTTGGAAATTGAATGCACAATCTCAGGATCAAAAAAGAATCACAAGGGAGATTAGAATTTTTTTTTGACCTAAATGATAAAGAAAATTCTGTTTGTTAAAACTTGTGGGGGCAGCCAAAATATAGAAGAAAACTTATAGACCAAATGCTTGTAAAAATCTATGATCTAAAACTCTACCTTTAGAAACTAGAAAAGGGCAAAGTAAATCCAAAGCAAACAGAAGGGGGAAAAAAAAACACACTGTTAGTGCAAAAATTGATAGAATAGAAAACTAAACAGATAATACAGCAAAGGAGCCAAGTTTACTGGAAAGTGAAGTTGGTTCTTTGAAAACAAAATTAATAAAATTGACAAATCTCTATTTAAACTGAGAGAGCGGGGCTGGGGCTGTAGCTCAGTGACAAAGTGCTTGTCTCCCATGTGTGAGGCATTAGGTTCGATCCTCAGCACTACATAAAAATAAATAAAGATACTGTGTGTCCATCTACAACTAAATAAATATTAAAAAATAAACTGAGAGAATGAAGATACAGAGACAGAAAGAGAGACACCGAGAGACTAATACAATTTACCAACATCAGAAATAAATGGTAGGTTATTATCATATATCCAAAATATTAAAGAGATAATAAAATAATACATGAATAACTTAAAGCCAACAATTCTGACCAACTTCAAAGAGATTGATACATTTGTTGCAAAATACAATTTACCAAAATTGACACAAGAAGTAGAAAATCCAAATAGTCTTATGTCTGATAAAGAAAGTAAATTTATTATTAAATATCTTCCCATAAATAAACTCCAGGCCCAGAGTGTTTCACTGGTTAACTCTATGAAACATTCAAGAAGAAGTAATACCAATCTTACACAAACTTTTTCAGAAAATAAAGAAGGAGGCAACATTGCCTAAATTATTTTAAAAGACCAACATAGCCCAGATACCCAAACCTTACAAGGGTATTATTACAAAAACATAAAATTATAGATCAATATCCCTCATAAATATAGTTGAAAAAAATTCTTAAAACTAATACAATTGAACAGTACTTAGAAGGACACCATGACTAATAAGTGTTTATTCAAGGAATATAGATTTGCTGAATGTTTTGAAAAATTGATCAGCCTAATTCACTGTATTAATAGAGTTGAGGAGAAAAGAACACAACTTTTTTAAAAAAAGCTATGAAAAATTCATTTGACAAAACTCAACAATCATTCATGATAAAACTTCTGAATAGCTAGGAAATGAAAGGTTACTCCTTAGTCCATAAAAGATATAAAAGAAGAACCCACAGACAACCTCACATTTAATGGTTTCCACCCTGAGATCTGGAACGAGGCAGGGATGTCTATTTTTCACACTTTTATTCAAAATTACATTGGAAGTCTTACTGAAGTAAAACAAGTAACTGAAATGAAATACCTAAATATCAGAAAATATATAGAACTACCCATACTTGTATAATAAGCATGTGTATCTAGGAAGCAACTATCAGAACTGAGAAGTGAATTTAGCGGTTCAGGTTAAAATGTTTATATACTAAATCAATACTATAGATTGGAAAACAAAACAATTCTTATATAATAGTTCTGACACTTCACAAAGGAAGACAAACCAATGACCAATAAGTACATGAGAAGATGCCTGACATCATTAATTATAAGGAAAGCAAGATTCAAAACAGAATGATACACCGTGTAACTCTCATGAGAATGGCTAAAATGAGAAAGACGGACAATACTAAGTGTTGACAAGAGGAGTATCCAGAACACTCATACATTGCTAGTGAAAATGTAAGACAGTACAGATACTTTGGCGAGCAGTAAGGTAGCAACTTAAAAAGGTAAATTCTTTAGGTATTTAACTAAAAGAAATAAAATTATATGTCTACCTAAAGATGTATACAAGAATATGCATAGCAGACAAATGAATAAGCACAATGTGCATATTTATACAATGGAATTCTATTCAGCAAAGAAAGGAATGAATGATCGATACATGGGACTATATGGAATTTCAAAATCACTATGCTGAGTGAAAGAAGCCGAAGGGGAAAATTGTGCATAAAAACTGTAATTTCAACTGCACATAAATCATTTGTTGTGGTTTCCTAGGGCCACTGTACCAAAATACCACAAACTGGGTAGCTCAAAACAACAGAAATTTATTCCTCTACTGTTCTGGAGACCACAAATCTGAAATAAAGGTGTCCTCAGGACCATGCCTCTTCCAAAGGCTCTAGGGAAGAATCTTTCCTTTCTTCTTACTAGTGCTGGCAGACACTGGCAATCCTTGCCTTTCGGTGACCGGCACCTATCACGACACTAACCTCTGCCTTTGGCGTCACATGACCTTCTTCTTTGTGTCTCTCTACAGTGTCATCAAATCTCTCTCTCTCCATGTAAGGACACCAACCATTGACTTCAGGGCCCACCCTGACCCAGGATGACCTTTTCTTTAGTTGACTACATAGGCAAAAACCTTACTTCCAAAAGTCACATTCACTGGTATTGAGGATTGGCACTCCAATATATGTATATCTCTGGGGGACATAATCTCGGGAACTCACAACAAGGCAGCGGCAGACAAGGCAAAAGGATCTGAGAGCAGACACACCAACATCCGACACATACTGCTTTGGGGGGAAGTGTTAGCAGGGAGGTGTATAGGACCAAGGCAATTAAGAATATTTTCAAGATGTTTTAGCCTTGATTCTGATTTTTATCATGAATAGGAAGAAAAGGTCAGAGGGGGTCCTAGAGAACCAACAGTCATTGGGATATCTGGGGAAGTTTTCTTAGGCCTTTGCTTCCTATAAAGGGTACATGCTCACCTTCAGAGATTCCCCAGGATAAACTTAGCCATCTTCCAGAATCACAGTTTTTTGGGAAAATTTTGAGTAAACACATCTTGATTGCTCCTATCTTAAATAGGTATCATGACAAACATGTGCAGACAGTATCTACTTTTAAAGTAAAATGGTCTTTTTCTGTCTTTTTCATTGGCTTGTCCTTAACACTTAGGACAGAGCAGGGGACCGTCTTGGTGTTCAACCAATGTCATGGGATGAATGGATAAATGGATTTTCTAAGAACAGAATACAGAGTGTCCATGCATTTTAGGCAGCATCATGCCTGGGACATGCGGAGTTTTCGTGCATGGCAGCACTCTAGTTTGACACCCCTTCATGAAGAAGCAGGTTCTAATTCTCTCTCCTTGGCTATGGGATGGATGTGAATGACTTGTCTCTAGCAAAAGAGAATGTGGCATAGATGCTGCTGTTTGACTTCTGAGGCTGGGACGTAGGAGGGGCCACAGTCTTCCCCTGTCTCTCTAATTGCCCTTAGAACCAAGCCACCATGGCTTGAGGAAGCCCAGCTCCACAAAGGGGCCCTTTATGAGTGTTTTGGCTAAAATATCAATTGCAGTTGATCTAGCACTAGCAGACAGACACAAGTGAGTGCACATGCCTTCTAGATGAATCTAGCCCCATCATCCAGAATTTAACTGCATAAAAGACCTGCAGTGAAAACTGCCTGGTTGGGCCCAAACCCCCAGGACAAGGAACGATGATGATAATAAGCGATGGTTGTTGCTTTGAGCCACTAAATGTGCAGTGGCTTCTTGTTATGCAGGAAGAGATAACCTGAGCAGTCAGAAAACAACACTCCAAATCTATGACTTTAAAGTCACTGCTCACAATCTTCCAGACTCCTGAGCCCCTGGCAGGTGACTACTCTCCCTAGCTGGGGAGTGAAGTTCGCAGGGATCCACTTACAGAGCACGTAAGTCTGAAGGGCTTGGTGGGTGTGGTGAAGCTGGCACTGTGAATGGGATCTGGGTACTGGCCGTCATTCCACTGAGCTAAGACCGCATCCTGGTAAATGGTCACTCCGGCCGTATTGAGTGCATCCTCCACTGCGCTTTCCACTGTGTAGTTGTTGATGCAGGTGATGATAGACTCAGGAGGGGGATGCACCAGGTAGATGCAGGTGCCCTTCACACCGATGTGTAAGAGCGTTTCCACAGTGGTGTAAGCATCAATCGTATTCCCATAGACAATGACATTCCCTAGAAAAGGAGGGAAAATGCTAAGATATACAGTTAACGACAACGACTTATTAATCAAATGCTAATAATGCCGAATTGTTCTCTGTAACCCTCTCCTTTTTCAGCTGCAGGAAGCCAGCGGTGTTACCTAGCAACGGCACCAAGATAATTTAGTAAAGAATTGGCACAAAACATCCCACAAAGTAGTCAAGTACTTGTAACGCAGAAGTAGGACATTCATTTATGTCCCTATAATTTGAAAGTTGAAATTATGCTGAATGAAATGGTCTAGAATAAAACCTTTTATCTTGTTTTTGTTCCCTATTTGCTACACTTATTAAGGAAACAAAATTACGAAAGTTTGCAATTCATACTGTGTTCTTCCCTAGAAACTTGAAAGGCCAATGGTAAAAAATATTCATTACATAATGTTACTGATATTTTAATATTTAAATGTTGAACTAGGTTGATTTCAAGGAAAATTTTTTCCTTTTTTTTTTTTAAAAAAAAGAACTAAAGACTAGAAGATTCTGCTTTACAAAAGATAACTTTATGAAGATTCAAATTCTGAATCTTAAAATGTAACGTGTCAAGACTTAGCCAGAGGGACTGAAGGGTATTATTTTGGTCAGCAAACATAAAATCATAAAATAATCTTAAAGGATTTCGTTTATGCAAGAGAATTTTAGTAGTAACGGTCTATTATTTATTTACCTTTCTCAAAAATATTACCGTGGTAATTGCAAATGCTATTCTAATATTATTTCACCAGTTTTAAGATCAATGACACTACAGGGTGAAACACAGTATGACACTGAATTAGCGTTTTTTTACCTTTGCACAAAGAAAGAAAGGTGTAGACTCGCTTTTCAGGTATGTTGTTAACAATCTTACCACGAAATGCATGCTCCCTGCATCTTTCTATTTTGCACTGGTCGCTTAAAGGGTATGAAGAGGAATTTTACAAGTCAAAATAAATGGCAAGAATCTTTATTCAATTTGGTTGAATAAATTATGCAAAACTCAATTTTCATCCAAAATTAATAGGAGGAGTGATGGCTTGTCTCATCTGCTTAGGGAAAATGAGCTAGACTAGCTTTCAGAGGGCGTCTCTGAGGGTGATCACATCTAGAGCTGTCTCCCATTCTCCAGGTCCTTCCCTGTGGAACGTCAGGTGAGCACTGAAGTGAGGGAGTCGAGTTCTGCCTTTCTGTCTTCAGGGGGAGGCTCTGATTTTGTGGCTGTGATTTCCTCCCTCTTCAGATGCTGTACGTCAACATTTCCCAGGGAGATGCATTTTTCTTGGCTGAAAGAGCCAACATTTTGCTTAAATTACTGAGGCTCCCACCTGCTACAAAACATGAATCTTGGCTGTCTGGCACAACAAAGTGTCAGCCTGCCAGGAGAGCCAAAATTTGAACCTAAAACTGTCAAAGGTTTGAGGTCTTCTGCCCTGTTAAAATATGCATGCCAAGACAGTATTCATTTTCAGTTGAACATATTTGAGTGTGTAGGTCTCACACAATTCTGAGTTTGGTATTTTTCCAGTGTCTTCCATATTAGCTGCTAGCAACTGTACTGTGAATAGGGCATATCCACTACAGACTTATGGAAGACTGGAGAGTGCAATGTTGCTGGGGTCTAGTAAACTAACACCTAGCAGGGGTTCCCCATAGATTGTAGGCAGTCCAAGAAGATGATGTTTTTTCCAATTTTAAAACTAATATTTTTTTTAAAGAGAGAGAGAGGGAGAGAGAGAATTTTTTAATATTTATTTTTTTAGTTGTTGGTGGACACAACATCTTTATTTTTATGTGGTACTGAGGATCGAACCCAGAGCCCCGTGCATGCCAGGCAAGCACGCTACTGCTTGAGCCACATCCCCAGCCCCAAAAGTAATATATCTTATAAAACCTTTAATTTTAAGATGAAAGATTTTTGATGCATAGACTAACTTCTAAACAATATTGGTTATTGTTGAGTAGTCAACTTTCTGTAGCTGTGACAAAATGCTAGAGAAAATCAACTTAAGAGGAGTTAAGTTTTATTTTGGCTTGCAGTTTCAGGGTTTCACTTGGCCCCATGGTCATTTGGTCCCTTCCATGGTCACTTGGCTCCATTGCTTTTGGTCCTGTGGTGAGACCAAAGGTGGGGTGTGTGGTGGTGGAACAAAGTTGCTTGCTTCATGGTGGCCAGGAAACAAAGACAGAGATTGGAAGGGGCCAGGGTTCCAATGTCCCCTTCAATGTGTGGCATACCCCACAGTGACCTAACTTCCTTCCACTAGACACTACTCTAAAGGTTCCACCACCTCCAATAGCATCATAGGCTGGTGACCAAGCATTTAGCATATGGACCTTTGGGTGGACATTTAATTTCCAATCCACAGCAACTCTCTTCAATTTGAAATAAGATTCCCTAACAAAAAAATATGAGACGTTGGTTATCATAACAATCAGCTATTGCCATAATAATTCTGTGTAACAAATCACCCCCCAATTCAGTGTCCAACAACAATAAGCATGTCATTTGTTGGCACACGTGTCTGAGGCAGGCTGATGTCAGCCACTCTGGCTCCAAGGTGTGGTTGGTTGGACTCTACAACAATGCGGGTTTCATCCTCCTTGGACTGACAGCTATTCAAGGCATATTCTATTTATGGCCATGTGCAACTGTAAGCACAATTGTTCTGGCATATTTTGAGCCTCTGCTTACACCACCTCTACCAGCATTCCATGGACCATGGCTGCACCCATGGCCAAGGGAGCCAGAAAGTACACTCTATCCCCACAGTGGGGGAGGGGGATGAATATTTGTTGAACAAAAGTCCAAACCATCATATTCTTATATTAAATAACTGCCTATATGATTTCACCAAACACTCTTCATTTAAACATGCTTCATGAGATTATTCATATTTATCTCGTTACTCATGTAGTAGAATCTCACTACGATAACAAACTCATGTAATAAAATTGGCCCATTCCTCTTTACCTGCTCAATCTTCTGCTTTTTAAATGTCTCCTCTTTATGGGAGATTATTCTTTCCATTATTTTCCTGCAATTGTGAGTGGTTTTTACATCATTTCTCACTTTTACTGCCGTAGTCCAGCTGGGCAAAATAACCGAGAGGTGACAAGCAACTTGAAAGTTGAAGCGGGAACTGCTTTATTGCAGAGAAACTCAGTGGGAACTGAGCGGGCACTCAAGGTAGCGAGAGCCGCTTCTCTGCGGGACAGCAGAGGTACATATACCCAACTAATTACACACAGCTTAACTTAATTAACATCATCTAGATACAGCAGTCAGCCAATAAGGAATCCTCGTCATCTTAATGGCTCGCTGGCGTTACTTCACAAGCCACTCCTCCTGGCAAACTACCAGGCGCTATCTTGACTTGATTTGGATCCCCAACATTTTACTTTGCAAAGAATTTCTAGACTCAGTTCAAATTTAGCTTGTAACTGTAATATGCCAGGCACAAAGACAGCACTTTTATATATAATTCTTCTTCTTCATCATCATCATTCAATAACATTTGAGAACCACAAACCATAACATTAGCTTTACTCAAATATCTATTAATAGGGCTGGGGCTGGGGCTCAGTGATAGAGCCAGAGTGGTAGTGACACACGTGAGGCACTGGGTTTGATCCTCAGCACCACCTAAAATTGAAATAAAGGTATTGTATCCACCTACAAAAAAATACATTAAAATTAAAAAGAAATCCATTAATAACTTTTTCTTGTAAAAATGAAGCACCCACTTAAAAATAATGACTTTCCCCCCCATAAACTACAAGCATGGCAAAAATTCATGGACTAACCATAGCTTTATTTTTATGTGCCCAACCCCTTACAAAAATTAGTAGGCAAAGGTTTTGTTTGTTTGTTTGTTTGTTTTTTTGTATGGGGATTTTGCCCAAGGATGCTTTGCCACTGAGCTATATCCCTAGTTATTTTTTATATTTATTTTGAGACAGGGTCTTGCTAAGTTGCTAAGCCTGGACTTGAACTAGTGATCCTCCTGCCTCAGTCTCCCGAGTCACTGGGATTATAGGCATGTGCCTTGGTGCCTGGCTTAGACATTGACTTTGATGACTCACTTGGGATAAAAAAAAATCAACCTAGGCATAACGGTATGGTTACTTATATTCATCAGAGTAACTTTCCTAGCTTGGATGAGTTGTGTTTTCAAACCCCCATATCAAGACCCCACCACAGCCTGCTCACAGGCACAATTGGGCCCCCAGCAAATAGTCCAGCCTCCAGCCAGATTAGGCTCTAGCAGGTGCCTGCGTGGTGTCTATCTTTCCTTCTGCTGTGGTTTAATTATGGTTTGTCCCCACAGAACTCATGGTTAGGTTTGATCAATGTGGCAACACTGGGAGATGGGCCCAGTGGAAGGTGCTTGGATCACAGGGGCAGACAATGCCTTTCTTGGGAATGAGTTAACCATGTGGAAGTCCATCTCCTTTGTCTTTCACACTTGCCCACTTGTGCTTCCACTTTCTGTCATGAGTTGAAGGAACACAAGGCCTTCACCAGATGTAGTCATCCAATCTTGGTTTTAGAACTATGAGTCCAAATAAACCTCTCTATTCTTTATAGATTACCCAGTTTCAGGTGTTCTGTTATAGCAACAGAAAATGGACGAAGATATCTTTCTAGTACACACCATGGTCTATATACATATCTAGGCTTCTCTGTGAGATGACTTCTTTGGACTATAAGGTCCACATTCAACTTTCCAGTTATCCCTGGAGCCTTTCACAGGGCGTGGTCTACAGAAGATACGGCAGAATGCTTCCTGATTGGATATATGGATGAATGTTTGAGATTTTTCAGGCTGCTGACCCAAGACTTTCCCCTTGCTAACTGGACCATGTTTGTGCCCTCAGATTGACCTCAGAGTGGCTAGATGATTCCACTACATATTTTTACTTCACATGATACATAAAGGACATATTCACCATTAAGTCAGCATTATCAGAAATATCCAATCACCAGATTGGTCGTAT